AAAAATTTGTGTAAAAAATATTTTCAATCAATAGAAACGAGACAAAATGAAAACGACTACTAAATTTGAAAGTATAAACGAAAGTTTGCTAAGCAACAAAGATAAATTTGGGAATATGAATCGAGTTAACTGCCTACCTCTGGGGAAGAATCACAACTTCCAAACACATCAGCAAACTCAGAAGGACTTTTCTTCAGAGTCTGGTCAGCAGGCAGCGTGTTGTCATTGTAAGATGACACAAACTTAAAGTCACTGGTTCTAGATCCTGTTGTCAGATAGGCGTCATAGTTGTAGGAACTGCGTAAAGTTCCTGTTCCATCAACATCTGCGTAATTAGGAGGGAGATAAGCTCCGGGAATGGCCACTGCTCCATCAAACAACAGTCTGGGCTTTCTCCTGCGACAGAACCTCACACCCAGGATGATGATGATGAAGGTCAGGAAGAAGGTGGACACACACACCAGCGCAATGATCAGATACGAGGTCAGTTTGGAGTTCTTGTCATCATAAGAAATATCTTTCAGCTCTGGCACCTCAGCCAAGTTATCAGAAAGCAGTAAATACATGGCACAGGTGGCAGACAGAGAGGGCTGTCCGTTATCTTTCACTGCTACAATCAGGTTCTGTTTCATGCTGTCAGATTCAGAAATGTCCCGCTGCGTCCTGATCTCTCCGCTGTGCACACCGATAGTGAAAAGTCCCGGATCAGTGGATCTGACTATCTGATAGGACAGCCAGGCGTTCTGTCCAGAGTCCGCGTCCACCGCTATCACTTTGGACACCAGAGAGCCTCCGTGTGCAGCTTTGGGGACCAGCTCGGTCATGAAGGAGCTGCCCTCCGGGGCGGGGTACAGTATCTGAGGAGAGTTGTCATTCACATCTGATACGAACACACTCACGGTCACGTTGCTGCTGAGAGGAGGAGAACCGTTGTCTCTGGCCATCACGTGGACTTTAAAACTCCTCAGCTGTTCATAATCAAACGACCTGACAGCGTGGATCACCCCCGTGTCTCCGTTAACTGATAGATAGGAGGACACCGACGCGCCGTTCACCTCAGCAGGTAACAGAGAATAAATCACGGTACCGTTTTGTCTCCAGTCCGGGTCTCGAGCACTAACGGAACATAAAGTGGAGCCAGGTTTGTTATTTTCACTCACATAAGCGCTGTAGGACTGCTCCTCAAACACAGGTGGGTTGTCGTTGATGTCAGCTACAGATAACTGAACAGTTTTAGAGGAGGACAGAGGTGGAGAGCCCTCGTCAGTGGCACTGATTGTAATGTTGTAATCAGACACTAGTTCACGGTCCAGCTGTCCTGTGGTCACCAGAGAATAATAGTTTTTAATGGAAGGAACCAACTTAAAAGGAACGTTCTGCTGGATGGAGCAGCGGACCTGTCGGTTCTTCTCAGAGTCTCTGTCCTGCACGTTGATGATGCCCACCTCTGTACCAGGTGGTGCGTTCTCAGGTACCGGGTTGGACAGGGACTTTAGATTAATCAGTGGGGCGTTGTCATTCACATCAATTATGTCAATGATTAGTTTAATTTCTGAGGTTAGTCCGTATCCATCTTTAGCTTCAATCATAACTTCATATCTAGGACCTTCTTCATAATCTACATCACCTGTTACAAAGATTACTCCAGATTTCTGATCAATAGAAAAAAGCTTCCCTGCTTTATCAGATAGTCGGCTAAATTCATACGTGACCTCTCCATTAACACCGTCATCTGCATCTGTTGCACTAACTGTAACAACTGGGGTGTTAATTGGAGAGTTTTCCGGTAACCTGGCTGAATAAACAGACTCGGTAAAAACGGGAGCATTATCGTTAGCATCCAGCACAGTGACATGAATAACTACAGTCCCAGATTTAGGAGGAGATCCTCCATCTACAGCTGTGAGCAGCAGTCTCAGTTCGTTCTGATCTTCTCGGTCTAACTCTTTATCCAAAACCAGCTCTCCATATTTGCTGCCACTGCTGGATGTCTGAATATTAAACACGAAGTGCGCGTTTTGTTTCAAAACGTAGCTTTGAACGGAGTTCTGGCCTATGTCTGAATCATGAGCAGCAGTCACACGGTACCTCGCTCCTTTAACAGCGGATTCTCTGATTTCCAGCTTCATTACATCCTTTTGGAAAACGGGTGAATTATCGTTTATATCCTGCACCTGGAGAGACAGTCGTTGTAATTCCAGAGGATTTTCTAAAAGCAGATCGAATTTGAGAACACATGTCGGCTTCTCCCCGCAAAGCTCCTCTCTGTCTATCCTCCCTACAACGACCACATCCCCATTTTTCTGGTTGATTGTTATATACTGTTTATCAGTTCCTTCCATTTCGACACGCGCTTTACGCGCAGCCAGTCTCCCGAAATCCAGTCCCAAATCCTTTGCGATATTTCCAATGACAGATCCGTGTTTCAGCTCCTCTTCGACTGAATAGGTCAGGTCTCCGTGAGCGCAGTGCAGCACAAAGAAAACAAAGAGTCCGCAGATTAATGCGATTCGCAGACTAAATGCCATCGTTGCGCAGCTTAATGCCACAAGCGACAAAACTACGTTTTTACCCGTAAAATAATTTACTCACAAATCTATGATTTTCTCTCCGCTGTGACCACCAGTCTTAAATAGCACAGAACACACACCGACCAATCCCAGTAATGGAGGATGTAAGACAAGCACGGTCAATGTTACACGCTTATCTGGTCTATACTGACACCTTGAGTAGAAATAAAATATAACCACTGCATAGAAATGATCAAACTCTTCAGCAACTATTTTAGTGCTGAAACTTAATATGTTTTATGTCATTATGAAAACCTCTTTAATTAGTTCAAATGCAGTGTTATTCTCATGTGACAGAATTGCAAATTAAAAATAATTGTTTTAAAATATATCTGATCCCACAACGTTTATTTTTACAGAAAACATTATCAAAGGTATAGCTCACATCAATCTGCACAGAGCTTCCTTTCTCATTCGTAATGAAACAATAACACAAATAAATGGATTATTATTAGAAAAGACACACATAAGATATAGTATAGACCATGAGTAGTGGTGGGCTACAATTGCAAAGGAGTCATCTGTGTTTTGTCCTCCTTTCATTTTATCAGAAAGAGCACAGATAATATGAAAAAAATGTTAAATGTTAATTACTTGTTATATAAGAGCATGTGATCCTTCTGTTTAATGTCTTAATTTCTATTGACGGATGAGATAATTTCTACTGATGAAGAACACAGCTATGCAGTCGGACTTTTTTTTCATCAACAGATGAGACTTCAGACAAATCAAGGGCACAACTGTGCATGCAAACTTTCAGACAAATGCCTAGGCTGCAATGGTCACCACAAATAACAGACACAGTAGCATAAATGAAGATGTAGCACGCTTTTTACTTCTTTTAAACATCTTTGGTTCTTGAGTTCATGGTCCATTCCAGCCCAAACCAGATAGTTTTACATGGTGAGTTTAAACAAGCCGTCACCCCTGATACATTTGCAGATTTGCTTGAAATCACATTATCATAGAATATGTATGCCTCTTTTGGCATAGATTTTTTGTGTGATAATTTAATCTGATGTCTCATTTAAATGTCTAAATGACTGTAACAAATACCACTGATTTGATGAGGAAGCAATAAAAAAGAAACAATCCAAATGTTTAAAACAGAAATATAATTTTTTTTTCAAATGATTCAAAATGAAGCACAGTAGAATAAAAGGCAAAAAGGCTTTTGTCAAAAATGAGTTCATGTTTTCCATCATTTTCCTTCAGGAAGAAGAATCTTCATCCTCAACAACAATGCTGATTCGTCATATATACAACCATCTGCAACCCCATGCAAATATCCTAATCCTGGAAGACATGAATATTCATATTCCCACACGCTCTCATCACAGGTTCTCAACCAATCTTTCCTGCAGCTGATGAAGCAGTGAATTAGTACCTCACCCACAGTAGCCTTGTGGATGTGAAATCCCCCATGAAACCAACACATTCTCACACTCAAAGTGTCAAAAACTGATGACGGGTGACCAAGCGTTTGTTTTGGGAGCTGTGCCAGAGCGTCACTTTCCAAATTCCACGAGAAAACGGAGATTTCACCGAATTCTGACCTTTACCCTTTTGCTATTTAATCTTCCCCTCTCCCCCATCCTAAGCTTAACCCACTTGCGCATGCAAAACTTAGTTTCTAGTTGTAACATCCCTCTCAAACATTGTTAACAGGAAGTTTAGAATGAGAAACAAGGTTATGGTTAGTTTGGGGGTGAGGGGAAAGTTAAATAGCAAGAGGTTAGAGGTTAAATGTCAGTGAAATGTTATCGCAGGTGTCGGAAACCGACGCCTCCTGATGCTCCTAATGCATCGAAAACAAAAGCTTGGTCCCTCAACATAATGTTTGGACGCTTCAGGTGTGAGAATACGTTGATGAAACCTACATTGTTTGCTTCCCCGGTTAAAGGAGGCCTCTCACTGATAAAAATTAGACAGTGAAACTCTAGGATTTGAAAAACCTGACAGATCTCTGTAACACTGTCACTAACATTCATGGACTCACCCATCATGACTTGCAACGCGGAAAGCTGCTGTTGGTTTAGCATCTAGAAAACAGCAGAGAATATCTCGGCTAGTAGAAGCTAACTGTTAGATTAGCTAACTATCTTGTTAAACTCCAATCTCTACCATCCACAGCCTCCACTGAACAAAAGTGTGATTATATATTTGCTTTCTCTACATCTTACATTATCTATTTTCTCTGTTTCGTCTGGCTTCCCTACAAACAGATTGTTCAGACTCCACCTGTCCTCAAATACATAGATACATAGATATAGATGGTGGTGCGTGTAGATGCAGCGACCTCACGCTCTCCTGAAAATGCGGTGTTTTGTTTGTCAAGTAAGTGTCTTTCTGCAAGTATTTCTTGCCAGTCCACGTCGGAATATGTGTACAGTCGTCAGGCTCTCTTACACATTCGGAGAAGCAAGATCTGCCAAGTTTTGAACACTAACGTTGAGGTGTTAAGGGAAATAGGACTTCTGCAACAGCCTGCTAGCTGGCCTAGCAACCCACAGGACTCGCCTGCTACCCCTCGCTGGGCAAGGAGACGTCGAAAGCGGTGCGCTAGGACAAGGAAGCGGGGAAAGCGCGGAGGTGTCTGAGTCAGGCTTGATGCTAAGCCAACTCGCCCAGCCATTCCATCGCTACTCTTGGCCAACGTACGATCTCTGAACAATAAAATGGACAGCGTACGACTTCTGAGATCAGCGAATCGCAGAGTAAATGACTGTTGTGTGCTTGTTTTCATTGAGACATGGCTTAATGACAACATTCCGGACTCGGCCATACAGCTGGAGCAGCTAGCATGCTACAGAGCCGACAGGGCTCTCGTAGACGGAGGCAAGACCCGAGGTGGTGGGGTCTGTGTTTACATCCATGACGAGCGGTGTCGTGATGTCACTGTAGTACGAAAACACTGCTCATCACTGGCGGAGTTCATGATAGTGAAGTGCTGCCCCTTCTACTTGCCCAGGGAGGTAAGTTCGATCTTGTTGGTCGCTACTTATATACCTCCATCTAGCAACAACAGCGATAGAAATGCGGCGCTGAACAAATTGTATCAGGCCATCAGTGAGCAACAAACAGCACACCCAGACGGTTTCATCATCCTCGCAGGAGACTTTAATCACGCTGATCTTAAAACTGTTCTCCCAAAGTTTCATCAGCATGTACATTTTCCAACAAGGGGAGAAAACATATTGGACCTGGTCTACACACAGGAAAAAGGAGCATACAAAGCCATTCCCCTCCCCCATATCGGCACCTCTGATCACCTCACTGTGATGCTAATGCCAGCATACAGACAGAGAGTGAAGGTTGTCAAACCGCTTATGAAAGAGGTAAGAGTGTGGCCACAGGGGGCCACCTCTGCTCTTCAAGACTGCTTTGGGTCAACTGATTGGGACATATTCAGGGAAGTAGCTACCTACAATAACAGCAGAGACATCGAGGAGTACACAGATACGATGAGCTCATACATCACCAAATGCATTGATGACGTTACACAGGTGAAAAGCATCACAACTCGAGCAAACCGGAAGCCATGGCTAACAGGAGATGTCCTCAGGCTGCTAAAGGCCAGAGACAAGGCCTTCAGAGCTGGGGATGAAATAGGCCTGAGAACAGCGAGAGCAAACCTGTCCCGCGGCATCAGGAAAGCGAAACAGGACTACACACACAAGATAACCTCCCACTTCAATGACAGCAAGGACACACGGAGCCTATGGCAAGGCATCCAGGCTATTACAGACTACAAGCCTGCAGCGCGTAGCTGTGAGAACGACACCACTCTGCTCAACAACCTGAACAGCTTCTTTGCACGATTTGAGACACAGAACAACACACGCCCACAGAAAACACCACCACCTCCACATGCCCAGCCTCTGTGCCTGTCTGTTGCCAGCGTGAAGAAGACACTCATCACCATCAACGCCCGGAAAGCAGCAGGTCCGGACAACATCCCTGGTAGTGTGCTGAAAGACTGCGCAGAGGAGCTGAAGAATGTCTTCCCAGACATCTTTAACACCTCGCTGAGGCAAGCCACTGTCCCATCATGTTTCGACTGCCACCATCATACCTGTACCAAAGAAATCATCCCCAGCTTGTTTCAATGACTACCGCCCCGTGGCACTGACACCCATTATTATGAAGTGCTTTGAACGACTAGTCATGTCACACATCAAATCCACCCTACCCCCCACTTTGGACCCATACCAGTTCGCATACAGAGCGAAACGATCCACAGAGGATGCAATCTGCTCTGCCCTCCACCCAGCCCTAACTATTCTGGACAAGAAAGACTCATATGTGAGCATGCTATTCATAGACTTTAGCTCAGCATTCAACACCATAATACCACAACAACTCATCTGTAAACTGGACAGACTGGGCCTCAGCACCTCACTTTGCAACTGGCTGCTGGATTTCCTCAGCCAGAGGCGGCAAGTGGTGCGTGTGGGCAACAATGTCTCAAACAGCATCACCCTGAGCATGGGGGCTCCACAAGGCTGTGTGCTCAGTCCTCTGCTCTTCACCCTGTTGACACATGACTGCGCACCAACCTACAGCTCCAACCACCTTGTGAAGTTTGCGGACGACACAACGCTGGTAGGACTCATCACCAAGGACGATGAGACCCACTACAGGAAAGAGGTTGAGCTCCTGACCACTTGGTGCAGAGACAAAAACCTCCAGCTAAATGTTAGTAAGACCAAGGAGATCATTGTCAACTTTCAGAGGCCACAACAACTACCCCCCATTGACCATCGACGGCGCTGCGGTGGAGAGAGTGAGCAGCACGAAGTTCCTGGGGGTGCACATCAGGGAGGACCTCTCCTGGACCACCAACACAGCTTCACTGGCCAAGAAAGCACAACAGCGCCTCTACTTCTGGCACAAACTCAAGCGGGCAAGTGCTCCACCACCCATCCTGATCACATTCTACAGAGGAACTATTGAAAGCATCCTCTCCAGCTGTATCACTGTGTGGGGCGGTAGCTGAACTGACTATAACAGGAAAACTCTACAGCGCATTGTGAGAACGGCTGAGAGGATAGTTGGTGCACCACTCCCCTCCCTGCAAGACATTTACACCACTCGCCTCACCCGCAAAGCCATCACAATTGTCAATGATGCCACCCACCCTGCGCACTGTCTGTTCAGCCTCCTGCCCTCTGGAAAGAGATACAGATGTCTCCGCTCCCGCACTACCAGGCTCACCAACAGTTTTGTCCACCAGGCTGTGAGACTGCTGAACTCTCTTCCCTCACAGATCCCAGCCAGCAGAATCACCAGGGTGACAGGGGTATAGGATGACAGACTGGACCCTACACCCCACCCCACACACACACACACACACACACACACACACACACACACACACACACACACACACACACACACACACACACACACACACACACACACACACACACACACACACACACACACACACACACACACACACACACACACACACACACATTAAACAAAAAGGAAATAGTGGTTGAACCACTAACGGGGTAAACATTTCTGATTGTAAACAACTACCTCTGCATTGAAATTGCACACACCTGCTGCTATATGTTTTGTATATTATTAGCGATATTTACCTGTTTAATATTATCTTATTGTTAGGGATGTTTTTTGTTTTTTGTTTTGTTATTGTTTTGCATCTGCTCTTTATGTAAATGTCTACGCATGGGACAGTGTGAAACGTAATTTCAATTCCTTGTATGGCAAGCACATTCGAAGAACTGACAAATAAAGTATTCTATTCTATTCTTCTCTATTCTACATTCTGAACTAAAGTACCACTGGAAGCAATAAATAGGCTTTATTAGGAAGGAAATCTTCTGCTTGCTTCCTGGACCCAGTCCTTGGTGGACACGTCTGTTCCATCATTACTTTGAGTGTGAAGAACTCCGAGCAAACTGGCCACTTTCTTCCAGCCTTAAAATGCCATGACGAGACCAGTAGTCAACAAATCCACTCATTATCCACACGTCTTATTAAATCACACACCCATTTCTGGTATCTTCCTTTAATTCAAAATATTGGAGAGAGTTATTGCTTTTTACTTTCAGGACTATCTCAAACAAAATAAAAGGTAACAAATATCCAGTCAAGGGTTCTTCAAATGTTTGTAGAACTATTCTTAAATTCCTTCTGATGAACAAAATTTAGAATGTTTGTACGTACGGTCAAAATTCAGATTTAAGAAACATGCGGCGGCCTCTTGTATGCATGTTGCTATGCAATCATCTGATGATAAATCCCACCAGTCCGTACCCAGTTGCTCGTATCCATTCTCAGTCATTTACATACAGAAACTATATTTGGTCACACTACATCCTCAGCACGTGAGGGAACTCTCTGGGTTTTTCACACAAAAAATAAAAAAACTTTGTTGCGAGATCGAGACACTGGCAGCTGAGGCGCAAAAGGATCTAACAAAGTTGCAGAGGTTATAAACGTGGTTGGAGGGAGAAGAGGTTCCTGTCAGGAATAAATAAAAACTATAATCAGATAGGTCGTAGAGTAATGGATTATTATTTACATTTTACACTATTCTGTTTGGGCTTAGTTTTATTTGGAAATGTTGTCTGAGAGTGCAACCTCCTCTGACCTGTCATTCAGTCTGGTTACCTTGTGCGATCAGGGAGCAGAGGAGGTTCTGGGGGGGGGGGGGGGGGGGGGGGGTGTCTCGTAGTTGTCATAGAATCAGACTTGAATCAGATTTATGAGGTTTATCTGTCGCTCCACAATGGGTCCCAAATCACAGCATAGCTCCAGATGGATTTCTTGTCAGTGTGTTCACAAAAAGTGTTAACTCCAGAGAACAGGGAGAAGCAGGGGAACTCTGATCTGTTTCAAACATGCAGCCTGATTGGAAGCTAGCTAGCCCGCTAACTTGGGACTTGGATTTTAACCAGAGCGTCTCTCAGCATGGGCCCGAAAAAGGTTCTGTCAGCCGAGGACGGTGACGATATTAAGAAGTCGCTGGAGTTTATGACAGAGGAGATTTCTGCTGTCAAAATGCAGATGAAAGCCATCCTGGACCTGGTCGAGGAAGTTTAGGCTCTCCGCGGCCAGAACGCCGAGAAAGATAGGCGGCTGGCATACCTGGAGAGCAGAGTGGCGGATTTGGAGCAGCACACCCGGATAAACGATGTCATTATCACGGGGCTTCGCATCAAACCCCGGTCATATGCCCGGGCGGTCGCAGCTGACAATGTAGGAGGGTCAGGAGAGGAAGATGTTAACTCCACGGAGCTTCAAGTGGGTACCTTTCTGCGGTCCAAAGGTGTGGAAGTGGATTATAACAACATTGAGGCTTGCCATCCTCTACCCCGAAAAAATGACAGTGACAAACCAGCCATCATTGTGAGATTTGTTAACAGGAAATACAAAACAGCACTGTTAAAACAAGGGAAGAAATTGAAATGATCCGAGGTCTTCATGAATGAACATCTGACAAAAAAAAAAAATGCGGACATCGCCAGAAAAGCACATTACTTGAAGAAATCGGGAAAATTTCAAAATACATGGACCGCCAATTGTAAGGTATTCATTAAACTAAATGGAGCACCAGAACAAGCCAGAGTGTTGGTCATCAGAAACTTGGAGGAGCTGGACAAATACTGAGGTTCAATTCACACTGGAGGTATGACTACTAACACGTGACGTGACACAAAACTCAACATATGGTACAGTCTAAAAGAACTTCATCTGCAAACGGCAACAATATCGATTTAACTCATTGGAATTCTGTTTATGATCATCTGGAACTGAGAACATTTCGATACACAGATCATAATGTTCTAGATTTAGAAAATGATATAGACCCGGAAAATAACTTCTTCTACAACATCAGCAATAACTGCTGCTACTTCACTGATTAACAGTTTAAACACACGATCAATACGGAAAATAAATTATCAATAATACATTTTAATAGCAGAAGTCTATATGCTAACTTCAACAATATAAAGGAATATCTAAATGAGTTGACAAATCCATTTGGAATTATTGCCATCTCTGAAACCTGGATCAATGCGGAAAAAGGACTGGACTTTGGACTGGAGGGATATGATGTGAATTTAGTAAATAGAAGGAACAAAAGTGGAGGGGGAGTGGCTGTGTATGTGGACAAAAATTTAAATTATAAGGTGGTGGAAAGTATGACATCTGCGATTGACAATTTATTAGAAAGTATAACAATTGAAATTTATAAGGAAAAAGACAAAAATGTAATAATTAGCTGTATATATAGAACACCTGGTTCTAGTATTCAGCTATTTAATGACTTTATAGAAGAAATA